AGGGCCTCGCTCGAGTTTTAGGGCTTAGGATTTTAGGGTGTGGGGCTTTAGGGTTTTAGGGTTGAGGGGTTTAGGGGTGTAAGACTTTAGGGTTTTAGGGTTTAGGGGTGTGGGGCTTTAGGGTTTTAGGGTTGAGGGTTTTAGGGTTTAGGGCTTTAGGGTTTAGGATTTTAGGGTGTAGGGCTTTAGGGTTTGAGGTTTAGGGTTCAGGGGCTGGGGTTTGGCGATCTTAGGATGGGACTTTGTTGTTAGCGGTCACGATTTGAGGTTTAGGGATACATATGATTGCTTGTAATCTTGTAATCCCGGTTAAAGTACTAACCTTTACGAGTCTTCGGAGACTTTTCGGGATTCGGGGGCTTACAGGGTTTACCCTAAACCCTAAAACCCTAAACCCCTAAACTAAACTCCTAAACCCCTAAGCCCCCTTTAAGCCTCAGGGCCTTTGGAGTCTTGACCCTAAACCCTAAACCCTAAACCCCAAACCCTAAACCCTAAACCCTAAACCCGTTTGGGGTTTAGGGTCGGTACGTATGTCTTTCGGGGCTCCGGGGTTCGGGATTCGCGGTGTAAAATTTAGGAGTTGGGGTGTAGGGTTTAGGGTTTTAGGTTTTAGGGGTTTAGGGCTTCAGGGTTTTAGGGCTTAGGGTTTAGGGTTTTAGGTTTTAGGGTTTAGGGCTTCAGGGTTTTAGGGTTTAGTGGTTTAGGGTTTGGTGTTTTGGGGAGTTCTGAGTCAGGCAGTATGCCCGATGAAGATAGTAGGTGAAGGTTCCAGTTCATGGTTGACCAGGAAACTCGGATCTGAACTCTAAACCCCCAAAGCCTAAACCGAAGGAAGCCGCACTGTCAGTTTTCAGTTCGAGGCAGTTGAGCCATATTGATGAACATCTTCTCTACTACACTTCTAATAAGGAGCCCTGCAGGAGTCATTCAGGCTCTTTCTCTCCTGGAGCCCTTACAAAGAACCCCAAAACGGCATGGCATCCTGAACTTGAGGCCTTCGGGTTTTGTCAGAGTTATTGCAGCAAGGGATCTGTGAAGGGTTTAGGGTTTAGGGCCTCGGGTGAAGGCTGCGGAACATCACAAGCTTCAATCCAAAGCTCCGAAACCTCCTCAAGCAGCCAAGCCCCCCGCCGCGAAACAAACAAACAAACCAACGCGCTGCCTCGAATAGCCTACCTAAACCCTAAACCCTAAACCCTAAACCCGTAAGGTTGCTCCCGATACTGCAACTGGCGCGGCTTCGGGAATCTGCAGCTTTAAGTGGAAACCCTGAAACGGTGAATTGGCAAATCCCAGGAGGCAGACATTCGGAGTCACTTTCCTGCTGGGCATCACCTGAAGTGGTGTCCAGACTTTGTAGAAGTAAGGGTAAGGGATATTAATATAATGTAAGGGCCTTAATGATTGGAATATGGATTTGTGGGTTCCTTATTATATTATCGCAAAATATATCCCAAAACCCTATTCTAATTATTGAGGCCCTACATTAGGCCCCTGGAAAAAGCGCTGTCTTCCAGGCCCTCGCTCTGACCTTACATCCACCAGCAGTTGTTCAAAAACGGAGAATATGGCGGGTCTCCATAAATTCAATATTAGTACTGAGACTATTGAATGGTGATTAAAATAGTAGAAATAATAACACTAGCAACAATGATCATAATACGAATCATCGGAACCCTAAGGAACAATAGTAACGGTACAGATTAAGGCTCCTAAGTTAGTCTTCGGACTGGCTCGTGAATTCTCTGCCTCGAGGTCTGCACCTGCACCAGCTACTAAACACAACAAGGTGGTCGAACACCTCTGTTGACACTGGAATTTATTAAACTTTAAACCCTACTGGATTGCAACATTCAGTTGAGGTTTCGCATGCAGGTCGGAAGGTGGCACAGTCAAGAAGCTGAAGCAATAGGACGGCTGCCGCATGTGCAAGAGGAATACAACAACCTGCACATCCTGCAAGCCTCACATACCCAGCAGACGGGATGCCTCTACAAGCCGCAGCGCTTCCAGCCACTTCTGGCACTTCTCGCAGGCGCTCACCGCCGAAGCGTAGGAGAACACATTCGGAGGCACCTTCGAGAGGAATCAAGGCGTTCCTTCGGGTGCGTTAGAGAGGCTCGTCCGTGAACACGTCTCGCAGCAGTGCCATCCCTAAAGCAAATGCACTGAGCAGTCGAGTCCCTGGCCAGGGTGATGCTAAGTTACTCAGTCGCTAGTCCATGTATGTGTGTAATTATATATAAACACACATGCATACATACATAAGTATATAGTCTTGCTGATTCGCATACCGCAGACATGTGTAAGCACATACATCACAGCGTGCACACGTATATCACACACACACACATTTAAATGCATACACACACACACACGCACACCTAGATAATTACATACATACACACACATACACAAACATGCACAGACATGAACATGCACATAATACACACATACATACACAGACTTCTACATACACAAACAGACATACACAAACATCTATACACATGTACACTTACATACACAAACACCTACATACACACATATACATATACATGAACACGTACATATATACCTATACACATACATATACATCTACATATACGTACATACATACATACGTACATACATACATAGATACACACATAAACCCATACATAGATACATAGATACATACATACATACATCCATACAGACATACGTGTATACATACATACATACATACATACATACATACATGCATACATACATACATAGATACATACATACATACATACATACATACATACAATCGCATGTATACATACATACGTACGCATACATAGATACTTACATACACACATACATGCATACGCATACATACGTACATACATAAATGCATTCATTCATACATACATACATACATACATACATACATACCTAAAACGTGCGTGCATACTCAAATAACATGCGTATGCGCGGTCTGCAAGTGTGTACGACAAAACGTCTTTACCGCACAAGCACATGACATCTTTCATGCACATAAGAAGGTGAACTGCATGCAAGCACTCTCACGCACACACACACACACACACACCCACACACACACACAGCGGCGTGCTTGTGCGCGTGCGTGCACACACACACACACATGTTCACGCAAATTCCCACCCACCCAGTCTCAGTCGGACAGTCCATGAGTCAAATCATGACAAATCTTGATCCCTAAAAAAGTTGTAGTTTACTTCTTAACATGGGGCAAAGCCGCCTTCTTGTGCGCCATCGATCCCAGCAGGACCAAAGCCGTTTCCCATTGTGCCTTAAAGCTGAATCTAGTCTAGGGGTCGGAATTATCAGTAAGAACATAGTATCCCCTTACATAGAGTCCCATAAGTTGGGATAGTGTACTATATCCCCAAGTCTAAAGATGAAGGCCCCTAGAATGTCAGACGCTTCGAGGGGTTCCCCGAGATCGAGGCTTGGGATGGAGTTCTGGAGCCAGGCATCGCAGCATGACGTGCTCAGCTTCAGGATAGCACAGTCTGGAATTGGTGGTTTCTTTTGACTTCAAGAAAGTCGTCTCAAGTCTATAGTCTATATGTGTAGTCTATACCTCACATCACCGGAATGCGCATGATTGAAGTTCAGCCGCTGTGGACATAGACAGCAGGAGCTGATTATTTCCCGAAGCCAAATCAAAAGGGCTGCATGCACGACGTCAGCTGGGAGTTGGGTAAGACGAAAATAGAACAACGAGTCGGGATTATCAAAGTGCGCTCGGCCACGCGCTGCTGCGGAAACGGTAGCATCAGATCATCTTCAGACGGATGCATCTGTTGTGTTATCATCCTTAAGCCCCATAAAAAATGTATAGTATAACCAGACTCCGGAACCCGATTGCCCTAAAACCCGAAACCCTCCAACCCTAAACTCTGAACCCCTGAAACCCCGAAACCCTGAACTCCTGAAGCCTGAAACCCCAAAGCCCAAAATCCATAAACAAATCCTACAAAGCCCGAAAGGAAGCGGCTAATGTAGGGGCCTTAACAATTAGAACAGGGCTTTGACACTCATTAATAAGGAACCCTAACAGCTATATTGGTAATTCTTTAGGCTTCTACGTTAGAAACCCCCTGAACCAAATCCTATACCCTAAACCCTAAACCCTAGACCCTAAACCCTAAGCCCTAAACCCTAAACCCTAAACCCTAAACCCTAAACCGGCTTGGCCGTCCAGCTGCGCCCTTCTCACAGGCGCTGATGCCCGAGGAGAAGGCGATGATGTCGGGTTGGAGGCCTCGCTCCTGGGCTGAAGCTTTGGGGCCCTTTGTTTGGGGGGTTTAGGGTTTAGGGTTTAGGGTTTAGGGTTTATAATAGGGTTTAGGGCCCTTTTTTTGGGGGGGGACCAAGGGTTTAGGGTTTAGGGTTTATCATAGGGTTTAGGGTCTTAGGGTTTCTAATAGGGTTTAGGGCCTTTTTTTTCGGGGGGGGACCAACGGTTTGTTTTTTTTAATGCACTAGCTCTTTCTCCCGCACGAGGACCAACGGTTTAGGGTTTCGGGTCCAGGGTTTAGGGTTTATAGGGCTTGACCCGTATAATTAAAGCAACTACAAGTGGGGAGTTTAGGGTATATAGGGCTTCTATAAGGCTTCTATAAGGTATATAGGCCTTCTATAAGGCTCCTGAGGCTCCTATAACGGTAACTACCCACCTGAAAATGACTTGGTTTTAGTAGGGGCCCCCCAAAACCCTCATACCATGAATCCCTAAATGGTAACTTAAGCCCTTTTAGGGTTCATCTCGTCCCTATGGTTAAGGCTTGCGGGTTTAGGGCTTAGGGCCTAGACTTAAAGTTTAAATTGAGGATTTAGGGCTCTAAGCTGCTAAGGGTCTTGGGCAGAAACACGACCTTCATAACAGAACTGCTGATAAAAAACGATCACAAAAGAAGGTACTCGCCCAAAAACATGGTAGAACCCCACCGGCAAATTCTAAGATTGCGGCTCACACATGTCGGACGGTATGCGCGCGTGTACACACCATAAATGTAGGGGCCTTGAGAATTAGAATTGGGTTTTGGGGTATATGATCCTATAACTAACTATAGTAAGGAACCCCCCAAAACAAGTATTGGTAAGTTGCTTTTGGCCCCTAGATTAGCCCAGCAGGTCTCCATCCACAGAACACACGACACGTAACAACAAACACATGAAACCAAGCGACAACAACTCATACAGCGACATGAACCCCTAAACGCCTAAACCCCTAAACCCTAAACCCCAAAACCCTAAACCCTGAACCCCAAACCCCTAAACCGTAAACCCCTAAACCCCTAAACGCCTAAACCCCTAAACCCTAAACCCTAAACCCCTAAACCCTGAACCCTAAACCCTAAACCCCTAAACCGTAAACCCCGAAACCCTTAAACCCTAAACCCCAAAACCCTAAATCCTTTGTATTTCAATCCCCAAGGCCGACAGCAGACACTGCATGCAAAAGGCACCCTAGAGCATCGCGTTTTCCAGATTCTGTGTTCCCGAGCATTAGCCACGATTTAGGGTTAGGGTATAGGGTTACAACCAAGAGCTTGCTGCATGTCTTTCTGGTAGTACGACGATCAGTTCTGCTCTCCTCTAGTATGTGCCAGTTACGTTGCGTAATAAATACACAGACTGCTGCGATCGGCGTGTGAGAAATGTCAGCACACTTCAGGTAAAGAGATATCGGAGAAAGCTCAATATAGCAACCTTAGTACTAGGGTCTTGGGTACATCGCACTATACTTGTTGAAAGGAAGCCTGAGTTGGTACTTAGTCTGGATTCTATATTAATCTACGGTTGGCCTTAAAATCCTTGGACAGTCTTCGTTTGGAGCTCTGTGCCTCCATCTCGTCCAGCAGCGACAGTGCCTGCGCCCACTGCGTTCCACGACCCAGCGACGTTATGACGGCGGCAAAAGACCTCAGTAAAGGTGGCAGAAGGAACCAACAGATACAGTCAATCATACCCACTTCCCCGAAGCTCAAGCTGACAGCAGCAGCCTTATCAAACCTTCAAGAGGCAACACATCGCCAAACACCACCGCTGCTCTCAGACAAGGGAGCCATGGAATGTACACAAGAAGAGAAACACGGCACCACTTTCGAGGGTCTTCTTCGGAACTCTCAGGTCTCAACATCTAGGGCCCCTGTACAGGAGGGCATGTGTGATGTACCTCATCTAGTATATACATACACACATGCACACGTATATCAATACATATAGAGATGCTGTCTGAAAAAGTTGTATATCATCTGCATGAATATCTATGCCTGCCTACCTCCCTACCTCACTTCATGTACCTAGCTACCTCCCAACGGCCTACCTATCCACCTACCAATCCACCAACCCACCCCACCGCCCACGACTGATAGACCGACCTACCTACCTACCCTACCTACCAGCGCACCTACGACCTACCTCACTACATGTACCTGTCGACCTGCCTACCTTACCTACCTACCTACCTACCTACCTACCTACCTACCTACCTACCCACCTACCTACCTACCTACCCACCGACCTACCTACCTACCTACCTACCTACCTACCTACCTACCTACCTACCTACCTACCTACCTACCTACCTACCCACGTACCTACCTACATAAATCCAGCTACCATCCAGCCAGCGGTCCGTCCAGCTTCTATTTATCCATCCATCCGTACATGCATACGCGTGCGCCTATGTATGCACATGTGCTCGTATATGCATACAGTTACATACGTGCGCAAACATACGTGGACCTGCATTGTAGCATGGACTTAACGACACCAGTTTACTATGTAGACTCGGTTTAAGGTTTAGGGCTTAGAGTAGACGATGTACATGCAGGAATGTTTGCTGACGTTACGTATACTAGAACTCCCAAAGTACGTTGGCAAACCTTCAACACCAAGCGTCCCAGCATCCGTCAAAGGTGCCCTGTGCAAAAGCGACAGCGCAACGGGCCATTGGTCAAAGCAAGCAGCAATGGCCGCATTGCCTGGTCCAGAATCGGGTGGATACACACACACACATATATATATATATATATATACCTACATATATACATATATTTATACACATGTCAGCATCTATATATACATATATATATATATACATATATACACGTATATGTATATACATACACATAGACTGATATTGCATACGAGAAACATAACCCTAACCATAGTAATCGTTATCACAAAAAACGAGAACAAAAACAATAATAAGCACAAACAGACTCTGAAGTAGCCATCTCCCTGACACGCCAAGTGCTCAAATACCAAATAAGGTTCTACTCCTACTGTAGGTACCCAAGACCATTCAGAGTATGGCATCTGGGACTTAATCTGGGGCCGAACTTAAAGAACACCATGTGCCAACTTGAAACCTCCATGTCTTCTGCTTCGGAGGGCGTCGAGGCAACTGCGCATCTGATATCTGTGCGCCATTGCATGAGCCTGCAGATCGCATATTATACATGAGTCGAATGCATGTGCAACAACTTATGAACATAGGCGACATCCGATGTAGAGTTCTGTCCTTCCAGTGCATGTCGAGGAGGGACAGCAGTCCGACATTAGCGTCTCAAAACGGGTGCCAGGAAGTGACTGTACCCATGAAGCCCGCTACACTCAACCTACAACAATGCCCCACTCGAATCGAGACTTGACACTCGGATCAGACCCATGAAGTTTTGCACTAATGAGACCTGCTAGAAGTAGATCGTAGAGCCAAGCTTAGCAAAACTCCGCAGAGTTGCACGCGATGGCACTCGGCGTCATGCCACAGTCCTGTGCAGATTTCGGGACGTTTGTTTCACTTCGTGGGGGGCTTCATGCTTAGATTGTATGAAGCCTTAAGCCTTAAGCGCTGCTGCCCTACACATACACCTCAGTTTCAAGAGCAGGAGCAACCTGTTGGAAAGCTGCTCATGTTGATGGTCGAATAATAGGATTAAGACAAAGCATGCACAGATATTGCGAGTCATCGAGTCTGACTTAGGAAAGCATCATATCAACACGCACAGTCTGACTGGGTCTTCAAAAGGAAGTCCCTCCCAAGAAGCCAAGGATCGTCCATGTCTTTCAGCAGCTGTACGGCTGCCTGCCACTGGCTGGCCTTGTCAGGCAATCGCAGGCCAGCACTGTCTTCTTGAGTCAAGAGATCCGAAGACATGAGTCCTTCGTTTCGGGTTAGCCAGTTGCTCAGACAAACCATGTTCGAGAACCAACAGTCCGGTTCTCGAACAAACACATGTTTGCCGTTTGCCTAAGCCACTTTACAGGCCCCATTGCTTTAAAGGGCTTTACAGTTGGATCGGTGACGCATGGGAACTCAGACATTTGCGGTTACCTGTGCTCGAAAATCTTCGCTTCAGTAATCTCCTCGATACAGAGAGGTCAACTTGCGCAGAGCAGTGTCCAATCCAATTGGCTTCCAATGCACAATATTATAGGGCCTTAATAATTAGAATCGGGTTTTGGGGGTATATTCTACAGTAATTTTAATAAGGAGCCCCCAAAAAGGGTATTGGTAATTACTTCGGCCCCTGTTTTGTCTTGAGACAGGTTTACGAGCGTTTATGACTCGCAGATTTTGCCTTTTCCGTTCACTGACCCTGACTCCTGGCGTCAACCGGTCGACAAAGTAATGTGCTGGATTGATAATTCGCACTATAAACATACAGGCATAAACACACTTCACGACTACGAGTTCATCTTGCAGACTTCCATCTTCGGCTTCAGAAGTTTCAGCTCCAAGCAGCACCCTAAACCCTAAACCCTAAACCTGCCTTCTCGCAAACGCTGATGCAAGCGCCAAAGGCCACGACCTCGGATGTCTCTCCCGGCAGCCGGAGCTCTCCCAAGTCAGCCCAAGGCGCACTGACTGTTTAGGGTTTAGGGTTTGGGGTTTGGGGTTTAGGGTTTAGGGTTTAGGGTTTAGGGTTTGGGGTTTGGGGTTTAGGGGTGACTTGAGGCGTGTCTGAAAAGATCCTCTCTATAGAGGACAGGGATAAACACTACGATCGCCCAGCGCTGCCGGGTTTCAGGATGAGGTTTGAGGCCTTCAAAGCCACGGGACCAGGTGAGTTGTGAGGTTCAATCTGACGGGATCAGGGGTAGATGCCCTGTGCGGAGCTTGCTGATCTTTTCGGCCGGGGGCGTTGTGGCCGAAACAGCGATCTGCCGCGAAGAAGCCCTAAGGAACTATACAGCTGAAGGCACGAAGTTACTTAGGGTTTAGGGTTTAGTGGTTTTAGGGGCTGTGCAGGCTTTTTGATGGCCATGAAACTCCCAAAAGAAGCGGATTCTGCATCCACACTGCCGGGTGTGAGCCTCTGTGAGCCTTTCTGACGTCTAAGCCTAAGGATTCAATGTGGTGACCCCCAAGCTCGCTGTTTTCGGGGGGGCAATTCCCTAAGGGTCCAAGCACTAAATGATCATCTACTCTCCCAAGTAGTAACCTACCCAACTACTATCTGAAACCTAAGTACCCGATTATTGGGTCTTTTGGACCGTTGGGGATTGTGCTTTAAGGCAGGACAAATCAAAGGATTGAACCTGTGTACCAACCCAGCAGCAGTGCCATGGGCATGAGCAAGTTACTCATGTTGGGGATCCGCGTAACGCTGGTATTCCCTAACCCTCCAGGTGCCTACTATATAGGGCCCTAGGGGCTCTAGTACCCTATATAGTAGGTACCTGGGGGTTAGGGGTTATTCTTACTTAGTATGATGATCTACGACCCAACACCAGCCTTATCACGCAAGCCCTGCTCGGGATGGCTTGAGTCGGGTAGCATCCAGCTGAAGGCCCTGAGCGACCTCGAGTTACTTGTGGAAACTCGCGGGGCTCAGGGTGTGAGGTGTGGTTTCGGTTTTTTGCTTTGAGGATGAGGCGACCAGAGAAGGTGCACAACATAAACGACGCATCGGGGAAACACTCCAACTTGTCGGGTTGAGTGCTACCCAAAAGTGGCGAAATGCAACCAATTCCACCTGAGACATTGATGCTACTGCGACCCTTTGCAGAACGTCGTCCTCCCATGCCAGGTTTCCCGACATAGCTTTTTCACCATAGTGCTACCATGACCTTTTCGAGTAACATCCTCCGGTTAAGGGTTTAGGGATTTGGGGGCTTCAGAAAATAGGGGGCCCTGATAGAGTACCCTAAATAGTGGGATCCTTATTATAAGGACCCCAAGATAAGGTACCCCCTGTTTTCAGAAACTCCCCTTTAGGGCGTAAGCTTCAGGCTTAAGGGGCTCTCGAACCAGCGAGAGGTCATCCCTGCCGTAGGAGACCTGCTGACTGCATAAGCCGGAAACCGGATAGCAAGCCGTGCTTGATGCTAGGGTTTAGGGTTTAGGCTTTAGGGTTTAGGGTTTAGGGTATCTTGCAAATCGCCATGCTCTGAGGCATCTTGGCATTGGCATTTTAGGGCACTAATTACCTATTGTGGCTCTCACCACCTAGTTACAAAGCTCTGGATTCAATCCAAATCCATAGGCCCCTCTGATATAGCACAAGACAACACACAGCAACAAATTGCGAGGTGCAGCGTGGGTCTTAGTGGTTCAGGAGAACCAGACATTTGCTGCCACACAAAAACCTCCGAGTACCTCACCGTACCAGCGAGCACGGCCACCGCCGTCGCCCACTGCGAAGCCCCGAAGCAACCGATCAATGAGCCTTTGAGCGCGGTCAATCTGAGTTTGAAAATCGTGGCCGTTCTTGCTGCTATCTGACGTGCAGCGCGAATGGTGCTTGAGGCACTTTAGGCTGAACAATACGGCGACACAGAGGAGGAGGAGGAGGAGCAGGAGCAAGAGGCTGGGGTTGAACATGGGACGATGAGAACGGCATGAAGACAAAGGACAGGGAGAGGACCAGCTTGATGTTGCGATGAAGTGGTGCAGATGGCGATGCTTACATGATGTTAGCTGACGAGGCTGCCAGTGACGATGTGGCTGCTGCTGATGATGACGTCAAGGATGCCGAAACTGATGAACAGGCCGAATTGAGCTTCAACACAAGTGTACACATGAACGCGGATTCAACTATGCGAAAGCTGTCACGAGCAGTCAACAGTACGCGGCAAGAAGTCATTGTAGCATCGATCGGAAGTCGTAGTAGTCCCACGAAACATCAGGCAAGAAAGACTGTTGGTATCATTGCCTGCCGTGAGTATCTAGAGCCCTATAGGGACGCAACTTGCACGACATGCATGCAGGCATGCATGCCTCTTTGTCCTTCCATCGGTCAGACTGACATCCGCGAAACCATGCACTCCTGCATGCGCTCCTTCATACATCGAAGCACATACACATGACTATAACTACATATGTACATATATATATATATATATAGAGAGAGAGAGAGAAAGAGGCATATCCTGCTGTATACATCCATCCATCAATCCATGCATGCATGCAGGCAGACATACATACTCATACCTACATAGCTACCTACCTACATACACAAATACGCACACACACACATGCACAAGTACGTACGTACACACAGACACACGAATGCTTACTTACATACGTACATACATACTCCGCACGGACATACCAACAGTGGTCTGCAGGGGTGCAGGCTTGCATGACGAGATCTTGAATGAGAGAAGAGCGCACGGTCAATCTCCAGGATAGACACTGGCACTGGAACAGGGGTTGTAAGCGCAGCCCTTCCTCCTGAGGTTTTTCAACCGTTTGGCCGAGGGATGGCGATCCATACGCAGGCCAGCAGCTGTAAATGATGACGTTGGGTTGAACCGCCTCGTCTACCTTGGGATGTGCGGAGCAGCATACTTAGGTGGGCCCAAAGGGATCAACATCGCTGGGGACTTTACTGGGAACCAAGAAGAACGAGAACTCCCGAGAAAGATAGCGACACCCAAAGCTCCAACCCAGTTGAGACTATGGGTTCAAGACACGTCGGGCCTTCAGCTCGGAATCGGTTCACGCACCCTGTAAGTCTAGCAAAATCGGTGCGCATCTACACGCTTGTCTCCAAGCATACGCTGGTAGATACAGAGAGACGGAGAGAGACAGAGAGAGAGGAGCGAGGCACGACAGAGTCTTGGAGGTTGGTCCCACAGCCCCAGAAGACTTCGAAGTTGAGGCAAAATACTGAGAGTTTTAGCTTGCACATTCTCGATGTGGTCCCAGGTTCTTGTTCGTGCAATCGGCGGCATTTTCGGAGTGTTGTATCGGATTGGGGTTTAGGTAGCAGTACCGCACTCGAGCCTGCTGCAGGAACCAGATGGCTCACTTGCTTAATTGCCATGTTATGCAGTTTTACATATGTATGGGCATATGTATGCATACTCACCCACACATACATACATACGTACATACATCCATCCATCCATCCATGCATGCATGCATGCATGCATGCATGCATGCATACATACACATGTACACATACATACATAAGTACATACATACAGACAGACAGACAGACAGACAGCGGTAACCAATTTAGTAGTATATATGGTTACGTGTATATATATATATGATTTGTCGTACGTACCATGCGTGTGGTGCAGATGCTTGTGGTATCAAAGGTTCCGATCGGAGGTCTTTGAAGGCTTCTCACATGTGCTCGACAGGGGATAGGATGACAGGGAACAGTACAGTATAAATGTATAGGGGCTATTAGAGGATACTACTACTATGAACTATGACTTCGACCCTACCTTATGCCCGGCACCTGTTTATGCCGAAACCCCTTCGGAAGCACGGCAACTACACTACACTGCCCACATACTTTTTTCACCTCCACCCACTGGCCGAAACCCAACTTACTTGCAAGCCAGTCCGCACAGTTCATCATCTCTGGGCTTACAGTAGAAACAATAGGAAGGAGCAAGACTGAGGTGAAGAGAGTAAGTATGCTCTGCCCACTTGCGAGGAGAACGGTGCATGTATAGTATATGTTGAGCGTCTTTGGAGTTCAATCATCTCTGCTTCGTGCCGCTCATGAGCACCATCGCCACCGTCATGATAACACCCATCATGTTTTTTCCTGGCCATCACGAAATACTTTTGCGATGCTCCAAGTTGCCATGTAGTCGAGCAAGGCCACTGCAACTTGCCATCGGCCGTCTTTGCGACATGCACTGACGGCTCCTCGGGCGCCCATGTACTACTTAGCTAGGCTTGGGCTTGTGCTCCTCATCCTAAACCCTAAACCCTAAACCCTAATTAAACCCTAAACCCTTGACTCTCACTAAACCCTAAACCCCAAACCCCAATTAAACCCTAAACCGTTTGCATCTTACGAGTAGCCATACCTACTCTTCATATCCGCTGCCATGCTCTTTATAGCTCCGCATTTCCGGAGGCCTGCCTCGCAAAAAAAGAGCAATGTAGGGGCCTTAATAATTGGAATAGGGTTTCGGGGTATATTCAGTGGTATATTCTATCATAGTTATAATAAGGACACCCCAAAATGATATAGGTAATTAGTTAGGCCCCTATATCATCCCCAAATGCACTCAATCAACAAACGTGCTGCGACTGCAGGGCATAGATAATAGGATCAGAGGCAGACGCAGGTGCAGGGGTGCCGTCACGAAAGTTACCATGTACATGCTTCGATTCATATTCTCTCTGCTGCCATGGTTTCGTAAGGTGCCACCCCTAACTCACAGGAGCTTATACAGGCAAAGGGTCGACTGCTGTCTGGGACCTCGCCCCGCACTTCAAGAGACCATCTACAGTCGCACACTGAAGCAATGAGTTCTACTGAAGTAATGCAGGGGCCTTAATAATTAGAACCAATGTTTCGGGGTATATTATACCATAACTATACCATTAAGGACCCCAAAATAATATAGGTAATTATTGAGGCCCCTATATTACAATTCTTGCGCTGATCTCCTGACGCCTCAACCCAAAGCTCTGAAACACGACCGCGCACAGAAGCAGACTCGGTGTTTAGGGTATCTCGCGCCCTAGTTAAAGGAAACTACAGGTGGGGAGCTTAGGGTGTATAGGGCTTCTATAAGGCTTCTATAAGGTATATAGACTTTCTATAAGGCTCCTACAACGGTAACTACCCACCTGGACCTGAAAATGTCCTCGACCCAGGCCCCTTACTTGTCCAGTTCCCTATTTATAGGGGAATTAACGTAAGGGCCTTAATAATCGGAATTGGGTTTTAGGGTATATGGTACTATTACTGTAATAAGGAACCTTAAAATGTTATTGGTAATTATTTAGGCCCCTATATTATTTCTTTTGCTCTACGACTAAGATTCAGAAATCAGCAACCCCTGGCTTCCCTCGGAGTCCTCCCGCGGAGGCAGCAGCGACAAGAATACCTAGGTCTTGGTCTTTTGGGGTTGTCGAAGATGACATGCAGGCCTTGGGTCTCTAGGCTTTACACTTCACGGCTCAGGGTTTAGGATGCTTCTGGTTTAGGGCAGTTTCGAATGTAGGTAACCCTAAGCCCTAAACCCTAAACCAGGTTTTTGGGTCTAAGCCCTATAAACCCTAAACCCTGAACAAAAAAAAAACTAAGCTTTAAGATTTGAGCTCGGGCGGCTGGAGGTCTGAGGCCTTCCAGCATTGGATTCGGGGTTCAGGGGTTTTGGGTTTATGGGGGTTATGGGGCTTTAGGGCTTTAGGGCTTTAGGGTTTAGGGCTTTAGGGCTTTAGGGCTTTAGGGCTTTAGGGCTTTAGGGTTTAGGGGTTTAGGGCTTTGGGGGCTTTAGGGTTTAGGGGTCTTAAGCGTTTTAGGGGTTTTTAGAGGTTTAGGGGTTTTTAGGGGTTTAGGGGTTTCGGAAGCTCCTCAGGGCTCCTCATTAAAATCATACAGTGACATATCCCCAAACCCTACTCATCTCGAACCCCTATGTTAGAGACAACTAAATGGGTTTGAAGCCTAAGAAACAACCTCGAAGCCCTAAGCCCGAAAGGCCTTCAGACAAACTGCAAACCCGGAAAGAAACCCTTTATAACTTTAACTCCGAAATCCTAAACCCTAAATCCACAACCCTAAACCCTGAATCCCAAACCCCAAATCCCAAACCCTAAACCCTAAAACCCCCAAACCCCAAATCACAGAAAGGTCCCCAGAGCAGAGTTCCGCTGCTGTCAAGTAAGGGGCCTGATTGAATCAGGCATTTTGGGGCGTATAGGGTTTAGGGTTTGAGGGTTTAGGGTTTATAGGGTTTGAGGGGGAGTTTGAGGCGTATAACGTTCGTACTCATGCAGGCTGCCCTAAATTGAATTCTAGACACCCCTAAACCCTAAGCGCATGGGTTTTCGAGACGAAGCCCAACTGACCAACCTCTCAACGCAAACAGCTGAAAGCCCGAACCCTCAGCCGGCCCTAGCTGAGATGATAAACCCAAAGCCCTATAAGCCTTAAACCCCGAAGCCCTATAAACCCTAAACCCTAAGCCCTTAAACCCGTAACCCTAAGCCCTATAAACCCTAAACCCTAAGCCCCATAAACCTTAAACCCAAAACCCTCCCTCAAACGCGAAAGTGAATGGCTCCAGGGGGCCCTTGCGTTTTGCCGTGGAGAGCAGTGAGACTGCAGCCACCCAGGCGCCTCAACCGGAGGTTTCGTAAAGGTGCTACGCTCTGCTAAAGACTGAATTTTTCGGTTTCGGGTATAGGGATGAATATGCGAGGGTAAAGGGGCTGGGCTATTGGGGACACCTGCGATATTGCGACAAGCTTTTCCGGGTACTTCAGTGGATGGGGGCGCGGAGATCAAGATGGGACGACAGATTTCGATGAGGTCTTGCAGCGCCACCGTGGATTAAGCATGAAATTGGTTCTGGTGGTTCAGCCCCTGTAAAGCGCCGCACATAAGGCGAGCCGGGAGCTGGATAATCTTGTGCTATGCATGATATGAGGGTTTCGGAACATAGGGGACCCTAATAGAGTACCCTAAATAGTAGGTTCCTTATTATAAAGGCCCCAAAATAAGGTACCCCTAATTCTGGGAAACTCCCATGTAACACTCCTGCTCCGGGAAGTCAGCAGTGACGGATGGCGAGTCTCGGACTCCGCCGTTTATCAACGCCCCCTTAAGGGATCATCATAGGGATTATAATAAGGGACCTTAAGGGACTATCATAGGGATTATAAGGGACCTTGAGGGACTATCATGGGGATTATAAGGGACCACCCAGCCCAAGCCCGAATGTATGAAGATGTGATGAGAGCACTGGGTTTGACACTGAACGATTCGGAAGGATCTTTGGCTTATGGGGACTTCATCAGACTCTTACCTTTTGCAAAGCGGTTTCCTAGCTGACGAGAGTTCATTTGGAATCTAGTTTGACGGGGTTCTAAGCATCGCGAGAGTCATGCGTAGTCATGCACATTGCCAGCCGGGATGCCAGAGCGGCCGCATGCACCTGGGTTTGAAACTGCCGAGATGTAGAAGACAAACGGCCCAATCATAAATGGACTTCTCAGCCGCACCCAGTTTCCAGTGACGTTGTATTGCGGGCGGCTGGGCCCGAAACCGGAACTCTGTAGCTGCAACTCAAAAAACGAAACGTTACAACCAGATCCCAGCAAGGTAAAAAAAATGGTTCCGAAGAGTTGGGGGGGCCTGGGACTCTCGACATCTTTGTAACCAATAGGAGCAGGAGTAAGCAACACGCGATGCGCAACCAAAGTACACCCTGAAGCACGGTTCCTGAATACCTGAATGTAGCTGTACTACAATATACATTGTAGCAAGTATCCGAAGCTCCTATGCTAAACCCTGATCACTCCTCAACCGAGCTGCCGATGGCCGCGCCGAAGGCACGCGCATCCTGCTGAGCTGGCGCAGCTGCTGCGAAGAGCGCAAGGGCATTCTGCCAACGTAAGGCCCGTCCTGGTTGGCACGTGCTTCGGGATTACTGGGTAGAGAGTTTCTTGGTTTTGGATAGCTTTGGGGCTTTCTGGGTTCTTGTTTAAGGGATTTAGCTTAAGTTACCACAACAAGGATCTATAGTAAATAATATGGCTTCTTGATTATGGTAACTGAAATCAACTCCCTTAACAAGAACCGCTTTGGTGGTCTGATGTCGATTCTTCGGTTGCTGGAGCTGTGTTGGCTTGCGTTGAGGTTTCAGGGCAGCTCATGCTTGAGTCTTGGGCTCTGTTGTGTGCACTACGTAACAAGGCTCCCGATTCCCAACGGTTCCAGATCTTCAAAGAGAAACTCGAGGGCGCCGGAGCCTGCAGCAACCCCGATCCTGGAACAATCGTCCCCAAGACACAGTCTACACACTAAGCCCTCTACTTCCCGTAGCCGAAATCGTAAAATCCGCAAGAGACATGTCCCGAGGCGAGTGCATGTGGGGTCAACGAAACTTCTAGCAGTACCTTCTGCTTCGCCCATCAGACTTATAAGTATCCGGTGTTGTCTGGCGCGATACTAGACCATGTACTGTTACACTGTTACATACATACATACATACATACATACATACATACGTACATAAATACATACCTGCATGCATGCATCCATCGATGCACGCAAGCAGGCATGCATGCATACCTGTCGGATATATGTCTGTACTAGGTATGTGTATGTGTGTATGTACACATATTATAAGAACCCAAAATACAATACCCCTTATTTTCGGAAACTCCCATTTAGGTCCGTTGGCTTCGGACCAGAGCTGTGTTCCTGTCTTTCGGATTTTTTGGGGGGCGTCTCGGACAGTGACATCCCAAATAAGGCCGCAAAGGCACTCTGAGGCAAAAGAAGTGACCCCAAAACAGGTCTTCATCATCCTTATAAGCCCTACTTAACCTCGACCCCCTAAACCCAAAACCCGACGTAAGCTTGTGGGAACTTGGGACATGGCATACCTGGATGCGACCTTTTGCTTCAAGAGTCGAGTTCTCTTATCGACGGTTTAGGGCTTTGGGTTTAGGGTTCGCTGCCTTCGGTGGCCACATCTGCCACAAGCCGTGCGGCGCCATGACGGCCCATGGAGTCCAGCCATGGCCAACACAGCGCGAGGGAGTTTCCAAGCTTACTCTAAGTAGCTTGGAAGTCTGGGCCTTAGCAGTTTAGTGTAGGGGCCGTAATAATTAGAATAGGGTTTTGGGGTCGGTTAAATTTTTTTATAAGGAACCTCCAAAATAACATTGGTAATTATTGAGGCCCCTGTATTCGAGTGGGTGGGTCCACCTGGTAAGGCATTCTTGGGCCTTCGAAGGGGCGCGGTGTCGCAACTTGGGGGCGTGTAGACCCCGCTTTGCAAGGTTTTGGCTTCGGTGGAGCACTGTTCATACTCCTGCTCAGAAACTTCCAGAACGTAACTGTCTAGGTTATAATATAACCCTAAACCCTAAACCCTAAACCCTAAACCCGTTATAAGCAGCATTTCAGGCTTTAAGGTCTAGCACATGTAGGGGTGTCAGGTGAAGGCCGAAGGCGTGGAGGTTAGCTGTTTCGAGTGCAGGGCTTCGGATATACTATACTTAAAGATTAGGTTAGGGTTTAGGGTTTAGGGTTTAGGGTTTAGGGTTTAGGGTTTAGGGATTAGGGATTAGAATACATGCCTAATCTTGCGAAAGATCGTTCTGATGAATGTATGCTCCCACCTGCCACCTGATGGTGAACATCGTGATGGTGCTGATGATGATGACCGTGATGATGACACTCTTAGCACCAGGTCACCAATGACGGAAGCAACATTCATGACCTCAATAAGGAACGAGCGCAGGACAAAGGAGCGATACTCCCTAGAGTAGCATGCGCCGTACGCCCAACATCTACAAGTGCAGCATAAACGGCTGACTTATGACTTGCCCTTGCCAGGCTAGGCCTAAAAAATCAAGAAACAGTTGATACCGCCATCAACACCACGCCCGCCACCGCCACCGCGACCGAGACCGCCACCGCATTGGCAACTGACACTCAATATTCTATCAACATTCTCTCAACATTCAACGCCATAATAGCCAACACGATAATGCTGATCAGAGTCATCATCGTCAGCATCATCATCATCATCATCGTCATCATCAGAGAGCGAAAACAACAAAACAATAACGACAACCACAACAACTACAACGGCTTGGACCACGACGACAACGGCTTCGACCACGACGACGACGACGGCGACGACAACAAGGACGAGGACGAGGACAATGTCAACCAAGACAGCAGCAACTACATCAGCATGCTTGCCAGTACCACTACCACAAACTTCAAGCCAATATCACAGCTACGCTGAGGGGCGGCACCGACCAATCGGATTTTTGGATATTTTTGGTAAGTTGAGGATTCAGAAGTACGGTAGCTTGAAGACGAGGCCTCTTTTGGCATCATGTCCTTCCTAGGTCCCAGCTGGCAGCTCACAAGCCAGCGGCGCTACAGGTTCTCTGGGGTAAGCTCTGCAGAGACTGGCCATTGCTGGACTTCGCAATTTGGAGGAGCTAGGAGTAGAGCTCAGGGCATTCGCGCCAATCTCTGCCCTTCAGCATCACCGGTCCTGTCGTGGCCACCATTTTAAATGCGCTCTCAGGAAGCGCACAGTGTGGGCTCGATCAGAAGCTGTCCGCCCAGCTTCCCTAAATACACTGCCGACACATGTCTACAGGAAGTCAGTAGCATATGGCAGAACCTATCGTTAACAGTGCAGGCAGCATCATGCCCAGTACTTTGATACTCCAACTCCAGCTCCTGGTCCTAGTCCTATATTCCTATATGTCCTATGCCCTGGCCCTCTCCCTGGTCCTCCTCCTACTACTTCTGGTGCTGCTGCTACTACTAGTACTACGACGACGACGACAACGAAAACTACTATCACTCCCACGGCGGCTACCACTGCCACTGTAACTCCTAGTCCTACTTCCACTTCTGCTGCTGGTACTGCTACTGCTACTCCAGCCATACGGGCCAGAGGCTTGCCAGCAACACTCCACCAGCGACTTCCGAGGCTCGTAACAAACCATGCCGGCCAGGCGACTGCGGAACCGATACTCGAACTCTAGAGCAACAAGGCAGGTACCCGGAGCACTTTACGATCTTGCCTCGGATTCTCAAGTCTGGAGGCGGGGACCTGTATCCCAACGAGGTTTCTGAACAAAGCACCCGTCCTTGCCGTGTAGCCGCTGCATGACGAAGCTACCGACAGAGCCTGTTCTTGCAAGTGTACTGGAACTCTGGAAGCAAGCGACAAGCAGGCTAGAGGCACTGATTGCAGATCCCTTGATGAAGTACAGGCTTGGAGGTTCAGCGCGTGAGGTTGGAATGTGAAAAGTTCAGAGGGAAAGGGTTGTGACCGTCACTTACAGGTCCTGCGCCCATCACCATAAAGCCGGTAAGGTTCAGAATTGCTGTGTGGAATTGTCCGAGTCCTTGTGCCTGTTGGCTGTTAAGGTATGACAGGATGAGACGGGTGAATTGTGCGAGCATGTCATGAGAGGCACTGGGTTTAGGGCTTAGCGGTCCCGGGTTATAGGGTTTGGGATACGGGGCTCTGAGAGAGTCCCTTCTATTATTCTGACGAGTCTGGAGAAGGGGCTCGGGAAGTGAATGTACCATAAGTCTTCTCCTCCTTGCCTCGGCGCCAGAACCCCGAACAGAATGGGACATCTTCGCAAAGTATGTATATCTACTTATATGTCTGCAAGCATCTATCCCCGCAGGGCCCAAGGCCCACCTAAACCCCAAAACGCAACGTCGAAACACCAATATCCTTTATCTCAAGGCAAGACTTTGACCCCAAGCAACGAGATGATGCTAACGCACTTTCGGGACCCGCTTTAGGTTGAGGCAAACCACGGGGAAGGCAAGGGTTTGAATAATTCCACGCATTGAAGCAAGACCCACATCGGATATGAGCAGCATCGGGGTCGGTGTTCTGGGTCTCTGTTCCGGATGAGTTGTGTAGCTTTTGGGTGTAGCGCATCTTTCCAAGCAAAGAAACCTAATTCGGAGTCATTCCTTCTTCTTTCCATGGCTTCTTCCACTTGGGTTTCTCGCGGATCCCAGAAATGTCACCGAACACCTGTGGGTGCCCAGGGCGGTCAGTGGAGGCTAAATGTCTGAGGTTTTGTAGGATAGTTGTGAACTGCTTTGTTTCTGTTGAAGCATGTCGCTGCTTTGTTGGCCTTATTGATTTTGCTTCATGGTGTTCACGCCTGTCCGGCATTTTACGCATATGTAATGATGATCTGTTTTGTTTGATTTGTTCTATCGACCTGTCTGCATGTCAGCAGGCGTTGCAGAGTCCTAGATGTTCGTTTGGCAAGCTGTTGGGTGTCGGAGATTAGTTGAATCCTAATCCGAATGGTCCTAATGTGTTGTAATGTGTTTGGAGGATCTTTTGAAACGATTGCTCTGTTTTTTCGAAGGAAGGTCTCCTCACATATCCTATTTAATGTGGCCCATTTTCCTAACCCTTCCTGCTTTTCCTCATGTCAGTCTATTCCCTACAACCCACCGAAAGAAGCACCTTAAGCGAACGACTGACGTGGGATCAACTCCACAGCCAACTACGTCGCCGGGCCTTCTTCGAAGGTATTCCCGCGGCCGGAGGTTTCGCAGCGGACAGTCCCACGGATGAGGAGCCCACCCTGGAAGCAGATTACGGCATATGAAACCTCCGGCCCCTAATTAAACCCCTACACGTCTAATCCCGTAAGTCTAAACCCTTCTATGATGTCGGTATGAGTTTCAAGGGTTGGAGCCATGGCATTCATGTGCGCAGGTACTGTGATTTGAGATTCCAGCCTCGTGCCTTTGTCTGGTAGACATAGAGACAGGTATAGTCTGGCAATGATGTATGGCTTTAGGCTTTAGGGTTTACGGCTTAATGTAGGGGCCTTAATACTTAGAATGGGGTCTTGGGGCATATTATACCATAATAATTATAAGGAACCCCCAATGTAGTATAGGCAAATATGAAGGCCCCTATATTAAGTTGATAAGGGGTGCCAGTGTGCGGAGGATTGCCATGAGCTCCCCCCCGCCATAATCTGAAGGCTCAAGCCTGCGACGATACTTATGTTATTACTATACCATACTGTACTACACTACACTATCCTATCCTATCCTATCCAATACTATATTATACTATACTATATAATATTCTACTCTACTTCATGATGTTGTATTACACTGCATAGTATATGATGTAGTTGACTATACTATATTCTACACCGAAGCTCCTCTTCCCGAGCCCCGGAAGGCGATTGCTCCGAAAATGCGCCAGTCTCGATATTAGGGTTTAGGGTGTAAGTTTTGTCCCGTGCGAGGCCACCCAGGCGTCCTCTGCCTGAAAAGGCAGACAGCCCCGGTGGGAACGGATACCGTACTAAGTCCTCTGCCGGTCGGCCCTACCTGTCAGCTGATATATATATATATATATACATGCATATATATATATATATATATACATCTATGACTCTATGACACGGATAAGCTTGAACGGCACCTCGCTCTGGAAAGATGCAGAAAGTCTATTGAAAGGATGCCGGACAACTTTCAGGCCATCGGCCAGCATCCCGCCTGCTCCACTCTTCCAATGTAGCTGTTCCGGGTGCCCTGCTCCTCCTGGCTCTTTGCGCGGTCATGGGCACTGGGGTGGGGAGGATGGGATGGCCTGTGGTTTGCAAGGCTTCGGGACTCGGGTGAGGGTGAATGATCACAGTTCTGCCAACATGAGACAAACAAGCAAACAGAAAACAACAACACAGATGCTACACTCACACACACACACACACCTTGAATTGCTTTGCTTTGCTGAGGGGCATGGTGCGCGCAGACACACACTTCGGAAACACACAGAGACAAACGGAGACAGACAGAGACAGACAGCCAGACAGGAAGGGAGAGAGACACCAACCAACCAAGCATAACCAAACAAACCAGTCACTCACCAACTCACCGCAGCCCTTTCCAGAAAGAGGCATGATGGAACCCACGCCAGAAGAAGTGTTCGGTGCCAGCCTCGATGATGGTAACCTGGTCCCCAGCTACCTGAACCAAAATCATTGCTAATCAACATTCTACTATTATATTCTTTTCAATGCAATATTATTTAATAATCAAATCATAATGAAATAATGATCAGTTACCACGGATTTGGGGGAGCAGCGCCATTTCGGGTTGAAACTCTCTCACAGATACATTCGGCGGCATGAATCCAACGAACTCGTCCCGCAAATGCCACACGCAACTTTTCATGTACTCCGAGAATTATCGAAAGAATTTGGCTCCGACGCAGACGAAACCAATGCATGGTGAAAAGCCTACACTACCCATTGACGTCTCGGCGGCAGCCTGGCAGATTCCAAAATCTGAAATAGCCTCGAGACTCGAGCCCTGCTCGTCATCTTGCGTGCGCTTGCGACAAAAGCGAGGAAATCCAACAAGAGATTGAGACTGAACCCGACATGAGGATGGAGTCCAGGATAGAGGTTAGCGGCAGGTATTCACGCTTGTATCTACGTGTGTAGACGACATCGATGTATGTAGGGGTATGCAAACGCATATGTGCTTGTGGGTTTGTGTTTGATCATTTGTCATAGCAGAACGCAGAGCAGGAGGGAGAGAGGGGCAGGGTCAGACGATTGAGACTGATTTGTACGCGGCTGACATGTTGCAGTGGGGGATCTCCCACTATGAGGACCGGTAGATATGGGACCCTAACCGTGAACCCTAAACCCTACACCCTACAACCTAAACTGTACACCCTAAACCCTAAACGCCCCGAGCCCTAGCCCCCTATAGCCTGAATTAAAACACTTGCGTGTTGCCTGGCCGCTGCACTTGGCCGTGGTCTCTTGGCCTGCGGACGTTGGTTGGGGCTTCGGGTTCCACTGAGAACCTTATCTTCATAATGTTCATAAACAAGATGAGCTGCTATATATACATATATGAGATGTTAGATATTATGAATATATACTACAGGTTAAATACTATGACTTTAGTATTGTTAAACATGACCAGCGCAGAGAGTTGGAAGTACTTAAGCCCTCCTTGCTCGCGACATTTGTGCCCAAAACCTCTCCTAACTACAACTCGCCCACCACTCCACACGAAACTGAAAACCCCCTATCCGGGCAGTCCGAAGCGGTTGGGACCGCTGCCTATGTAGAGGAGCGCAATGGTAGAATTGTACTAAAGACTGTTTCGAAAAGGGTATGCGCGAGCCACTGAGTCCGCAAGCAATCCATCCCGTGGGCTTAAGAATCTCTTTGGCTTGACAGATGGGGCAGCCGGACAGGTCCTGTCGTAGCATACCCGAACCCCCCAGGTACCTACTATATAGGGTACTAGAGCCCCTAGGGCCCTATATAGTAGGTACCTGGAAGGTTGGGGATAACAACCTCAGAAATGCCTGACCGAGCCATTGAATGGGCTTTTGTTTGGAGTGTAATGTCAGACCTTACTGCGACCTCGCTAAACCCAAAGCTTCAGCTGAGCCTCGAAGCCCGAACACCCCAAACCGCAAACCCTAATGTAGGGAACTTAATAATTAGAATTGGGTTTTGGGGTATATTCTACTTCAACTGTAGTCAGGAACCCCCAAAATAGTATTGCTAATGTAGGGGCCTTAATGATTAGAGCGGGGTTTTGGGGAGAAGGAACCCCAAAATAATATGGGCAATTGTTGCGGCCCCAATATTAAACTCCGGCAGAGGCCCTGATGGTTGACACTGCTGACGAATGTCCGACAGAACCCTGAACCCCGAATCCCGCACACCAAACCCTAAAACCCTAGACTAGAAAAACTTAAGTATAAACCCTGAACCCTAAACCCTAAACCCTAAACCCTGAACCCTAAACCCTAAACCCTAAACCCCAAAACCCCACATCCAAAGCCTGAACCCCAAAAAACTACAACTCGGCCCTCTTGGCACGCCTTCGAAAAGGAAGTGCACGTCGAGCTTAGACCGGGGCAGCATGGCCTTGAAGATCTTTCAAGGGCTCTTCTATGTAGGGGTGTAAGGTTGTTTGGTAGGGTTTAGGGTTCAAGGTTTTTTGGTTGGGTTTAGGGTGTAAGGTTTTTTGGTAGGTTTAGGGTTTAGGGTTTTTTGTTGGTAGGGGTTAGGGTTTAAGGTTTGTTGCAGGGTTTAGGGTTTCGTGTTTGGGCTCTGGGTTAGCGGTTTAGGCAGATACAGACAGACAAACAACGTAAGTGAATCATGGGCAGTGGTGGCGAGCACAAGCAATCGTATCTTCAGTGAACAAACATCTGCTGCAACACAGTGCTGGATACATATTGGTCCTGCCACTGCTTGAAACAGCAAGATGTGTGGGCCCCGCAGTCGATAACTGCAACAGGGATTGAATCAGAAAATGGACTTGCATTTTCCAGCATAGGCTGCGATCTTCGCAAACCTTAGCCAACTAATGAGTGTATCAAGGTCTGACATCGCATGTATCCACTACAAAGGACACATCTCGTGCCTGAGAGCCTCGCCTCTGCTATATACCCAGTGCTGCATGACACCTCCCCAGAAAAGGGAAATGCAGGGGCCTTAATAATTAGACTAGGGTTTTGGAGAATGTTATACTAGACTTATAATCTGGAACCCCCAAAATGACATAGATAATTATTTAGGCCCCTGTATTCTAAGACTTCGAACCTGGTACACACCACTCTTCAAAGCCTGAGAATTGCGAGTCGGACCTACCGGACGATATCCAACGAACACACAGCGCTGTACTGCGCGTGCGGGTGCGGAGCATACGCGCCCTTTGACGGTAGTTGAAGAAGGCGGCACTTTGCAAAGGAATCCATATCCGTGCTGGAGCATGCGGCCACATGAATTTTTCAAGAGCACTGGTGACACTATGGCGACAGTAGCAAGAAATACCAGGGATTAGTGAAAAGAGTAATATCATGCAGCAACTGCTCAGACAACAAGGTACAATGCTGCTCACGTCCATGACATGAGGAAGTTATGTTCAACGCATGCACAGTACTTAATGAAACCGTTACTCCCAACAAAGAGTGATGCCACCACTAGACGTCATGCTCGTTCTTACCATCAACATTGCCACCATGATCATCACGGTCATCATCATAGGTGGCCATACTCAATACAACCACGGCACGAAGAGTCCAAAGCTGCGAACACTACCCACTACTAGGCGAGTTGTCAGAGTATCACAAGCACCGCATAGTACGGATGCTGAAAGGACCTTCCAAGTGGCCACCCGTGTCTCATAAACAAGGATAATCACAAAAATCCTGCCGAAGCCGTCATCCAGAAGCCAAGACATCTCTGCCAAAACATCCCTTTTTCAGAGGCTACTCCCGATCCGCTCACTGACAACATTCTGTAGTAATCCTGTACACAACTCAGCTTTCAGAGGCTACTCCCGATCCGCTCTCTGACAACATTCTGTAGTAATCCTGTACACACCTCAGCTTAGCAGCGAGTCAGGCCGCTCTCGTCTGTACACGGAAGATTGCACAGGTTCTTGACTTTGGCCGAACACCCTCCTGAAGCAACACAATGCAATTGCCATGGCCACCAAGAATATCAACACGACGCCCGCTCCGAGAAGCTCAGAATGATCATTTGCAGATTGGATCCATCGGAAGAACCAGCTTTGCAGGTTTGCCCTTTCCGCCACGAAACCCAGCATCTCTATCAGCCCAACGAGAATTGCTACCAAGCCTGAGGTCACAGTGACGAACAAGTTGAAGTAGATCTTCTTCTTGTCATCCTCACAGCTATCACAGCTACGAGTGCGAGCAGCGACTGTCGAGGACTGCAAGCTCACAAACAGTGCTCTCCTCTCCACCAAACAGACTAGTCCTCCGCGGAGGTGCGATAGATCCATGCCATCATCAAGCCATTCAGGGTGTCAAGAAGGCACATTCCGGACATGAAAAGCAAGGGCAGAAGCAAGATACAGACGGGCGCAGCGAGGCCATGCGATACGGCTACCACACCCAATAGCCCCACCTCTGTGGCAGTGTCAAACCCTAGCCCGAATAAGAACCCGACAATCAACATATGCCACGGCTTCGAAATTGCTTGGAACAGTCGTGGACAACATCTCAACCACAAACCCATAGTTGCATCGTGGCTGTGGTCGCCACCATGGCCCTTCCATTCCATCCACAGTTGCCGAGCCGTGCACAAGTTGAGAATGCCGAGGGCGAGTAAGAAGCTTGCAGAAATCGCAAGTCCCAAAACACTGCCACAAGCATGGAAAGTGCTGAGCATGTTCTTCATGAAACTCTTCGCCAACAGGATGCCGCAGCAGGCAAGGAAAACCACAAGAGAATGCCCAAGAGCAAAGAACCTGATTCACAGCAAAGGTGCGAAGATTAGGCCCTACGGCCCTAAGGCCTACAGACTGTGGGAACTCATTCTTCCAGATGCTGATCCAACACCCCACGACAGCGGGAACTCACCGGATGAGCCGAAGAGCATTCCCACCGTGTGCGGGCTGCTCTTCCTGACCGTCAGCTTCCGCGTGATATTGTCTATTGCCGCCTTGGAAGACACGAGGCTCTCTTGCTGAAATCCGCTGGAAGCATGTTCCAGATCCGGGATAGGAGCACCAAGTGGGGGTTTCCGAAAATAGGAGACCCTAATATAGTACCCTAAATAGTAGGACCCTTATTATAAGGACCCCTAATTAAGGTACCCCTTATTTTCGGAAACTCCCAAGTAGGCTGGATCCCTCAAACCCCCCAGCTCAGGACATCCCGATTCATCCATGTCGCGACAGCAACCAGAAGCACAAGCATCGCAGGGACAGAAGAACTCGAGATCATAATGATAGTAATAATAGTCATAATAATAATAATAGTAATAATAGTAATAATAGGCTACAGTTCGTCAGAAAATGATGCTCAGCAAAGCGGCGATGTGATCCACATCGAACGCATGTCGAAGCCCGAACGAATATGCGAGCAGTCCTGATGCCATTAACGCCGGTACCAACGTCAAAGTTCCAAACAGCCCGATGGTAAACACCAGGATCACAACCTGGCTGGGTCTGGCTTGGCCGGCAGCGATGCTCTGCCGCAGGCTCAGCTTCAAGTGGGCAACTTCAATCAAGGACGAGGTGCGAGGATCAAAGCTGAGCTTCGACGTCGTCGACGCTCCAGCCTCCAAATCTTCATGTAAACAAAAACATCGCGGTGCTTAGCAAAAGCCCTAAAGAGCATTTCCAACCGCGGACCCAGAAGAGCTGGATGAGTCGTGCGACTCGACGTCGCCCACAGGCTCCATGGCTCGAAAATCGGACGAACCAGCGCTTCAAGGCATTATGCAGGAACGCGGCAATGTAAAGGCCTTAATAATTTGAATAGGGTTTTGGGGCCCATTCTACTGTAATTATACTGAGGAACCCCCAAAATAGTATATGGTAATTGCTTAGGCGCCTACATTATGAAGGGGACTCTGCAAGCTGACAGGCTTTCGTGATGGCTACTCGGCCGCGCTTGCTGGGATCTGCATCTGGGAGTGGGACAGACAGACAGACAAAGAGATGCGGACAGTGTTTCAACGTACATATTTAAACGTTGTACGCATGCATGCATGCTTGCATGAAATTATATACAAATGCATAAGGCCTAGGATGATGACAACTTTTGTTTCGTATCGGTCATAACAGTTGCTGGCATACACAAACAATCATGGCCAAGAGGCAGAGAGTATGATGACGAAGTCCTCATCATCAGTGCCCATGTCGTCACAGTAGCGCCAACGCCCGGAAAGATCCTGCAAGAGGAGGTTTCCACGCATTTGGTACCACCGGGTTTAGGGTTTAGGGTCTAGGGTTTAGCCACTCTACACCCCAAAACCCAAAACCCTGGTGGGCCCTTTAAAATCTCAACTCGAATGCCCCATACTCTAAACCAAAGTACTGTACCTTTTCAGGCTCAACCCACCGTTGACTCATTTCGCTCTTGTAGGGCCGTAACCACAAGGCAACAAGGCTGTGCTATCTGCTGCGCTGAACCCTAAACCCTAGACACCAAAACCCTAAAGCCCAAACCCTAAAACCCTAAAACCCTAAACCCTAAACCCTAAAACCCTAAACCCTAAACCCCTAAACCCTAAACCCTAAAACCCTAAAACCCTAAAACCTTATTAACCCGAAACCCTGAACCCTAAAACCCGAAACCCTAAAAACCTAAAAACCCTATAAACCCTAAACCCCAACTTGAAGGCCCGGCTAGATCCTGAGCAGAGTTTTCTTGCCGTTTGGGTCATATAAGGGCCTTTTTTGTTAGAATAGGGCTTTGGGGTGATTGGACTATAATTGTAATAAGGAGCCCCCCAAAACTAGTATTGGTAAGATTTTTTGCCCCTACCTTGAACCCTAACCTTGTGAACAGCGCGCTCCTAAACGGGACCTCCGCCTCGGTAGCCTGATAAAGTCTATAAGATTGAAACCATGGGCCCCTAGTATGGGCCCTTAACCCTGGGATCCTTATACGCCTATACTATATACCCTACATGTACCCTTAAGGGTCCCTAGAAAAGCCTGCAGTAAGGGTTTTAGGGGCCCATACTTCTGACTTAGATAAAGTGCTACTCTCTCAAGGTTCCCCCATGTGCCGGACGTTTCAAGAAGAGCTCCGAACCCCGCAAGCTCTAATGTAGGGGCCTTCATAATTAGAACCGGGGTTATTTCAAAGGGCTCCTTTAGAGGATTCTATAAGGGTAGCCATAAGGGCTCTATAATATAGGGACCTTCATAAATAGAATAGGGTTTTGGGCTATATTATACTAGAATTCTAATCAGGAACCCCCAGAATAATATGGGTATTTATTTTGGCCCCTATATTAAGTGCCTGGTTGTCCCACTTCTGTGTTGCCGGTTGTGTCGGCAATGCAGCACTGGCCTCAGGTGCAAGAGCAACACAGGGCAGGTAATTGATGTCGAGTCAGGCCCAGTTAGCCCAGAGACCATTAGCAACTGCTGAAGACATCGAAGTGATCAGGGAAACCAAACATTGTGTCGCCAAAATCTGGGGATTCAAGCTAAACGCCAAAAGGCGTATTCCCCGGTTGAGCCGTTTTACTTTCCTTGTGTGATATGTTTGAGGGTAATTTGCTGGGTGTCCTTGTCTTCATTGCGCTGGGCAGCTAATGTAGGGGCATTAAAAATTAGTATAGGCTTTTGGGGGTTCCTTACCGTTATAGCATAATATACCCCGGCCCCAAACCCTATTCTAATTCAAGCGGCCGGCCTCTACCGTCCTCTCGCGGCTCCTTAAAACTCTTCAAAGAAGGAGTAACATAAGGGGCAACTGTATAACGGTTCCTTTAAGGGGCCGCGACATTAGGGGGGGTGTTGTTCAGCATCACTCGAGATCCTCTCGAGCGCCCCATACCCCATCGGTCACCATCAGGTTCCAACATCGCGGCAAATTGCAAATTGCAATGCCGCCTCTAAACTACCCTGGAACCAAGGGCAGCCAAGCACGCCTCTCGCACCCTTGTGCGAGTGGCGTGCTTGGAAAGACCTAGCACTGTGCGTGCAGGGTGGGGAGCAATGAGCCCGCAAGCGCCGTGGACAAGTCTGGTTTGGGCTTCAACAACCAACGGGGCTGGCCAGAACGCAAGAGGAACACAACTCTGTGAATCTAGTCCCTAGCAGCTACTACAGGGACCAACTAGAAATTACCTATATTAGTTCTCAAGGTTCCTTCCGGCTACTTCTATAATATATCCCAAACCCATATTAATGCCCCCTATACCAAAGAATTCTTATAGTACCCCTTGCAATGACACCTAAAGTAATCCTATTCTACTTTCTAAGGCGCCTGTGGCAGTTGGTAAACCGTCTAATCAGCGGCTGAGGCTTCGCTGAAACCCAATGTCACGATCACGAATCAAAAACCCTCCAATATGTTTTTACCTCTGTGCTGATATAGCATAGTATGGCACATTGAGGTATAGCATAGTGAAAGTTTAGCATAGTCTAGTATTGTACCGTTGTGCTCCAGGCCCTGTAGTCCCTAGTCTAATACCCAACACGGCTCAACATCATACACGACACGCCGGAAGCCTCAACACAACATAAAAGTAGTCCGCAAAGCAGCAAACCCTACATACGTTCTGAAGCCGCCAGAGCTCCGGGGGCGGGTGGGGAGGGCGGAAATATTCAAGCATTTCAGGGACTGTAAGGAATTATTTATGTCTAGCTCTCTAATCTATATCTGTCTATCTATTAATCTATCTATCTATCTACCTATCTATCTAGATATCTATCTATGTATGTCTATCTACATCTATCTATACCTATCTATATAATATTATATATGTACATATGTATATATGTATATATATATATATACGTACACATATTCAACCCAAGATGCGGCGGCAGCCGAAGCTTTCAGCGCTGCGTGCTCCCGCAGCTCTGCAGGAGCGAAGCGCAAGGCTGCCGGGTTGGTGGACACGACCTCGCGGTGGATTCGCCGAGTTTTGGGGTCTGCAGGGTTTAGGCTTGAAAGGCTTATAGGGTTCAGGGTTGAAAGGTTTGGGGTGTGGGATTTAGGGCTTAGGTTTTATAGGGCAGAAGGTTTAGATGGGTTTATGGTTCAGGGTTTCAGGGTGTTCAGGGTTGAGGCAAGGTTTGGGGGTGTAAGGATCGCATATAGGATCAGGTTGAATACCGCATGGACTAACAGGATCACACAGGCTCCCCAGGAGGGCCGATTGGGGCCGATCTCTGGGATGCAATGAGGTTTCGTAGTATTTAATGTGCTTCCTGTCGATCTTGCAGGGACCCGATTCTACACGTGGCTGAATATCGAACACACATTTGGGCTAAAGAGGAAAACCAGTGTCTAAAGTCGGATAGCGAAAACAAGGCATGAACAACAACATGTGTCAATATGTATATATACATATATGCATGTGTATGTATATATATATATATATATATATGTATGTGTCTATATACATATATATATATATATATATATTTATATTCATATTTATGCACACACTGTACAGGCGCGTTTTCACATACAGGTTTCACTTCTGTACGACTCTCTCTCTCTCTCTCTCTTTATCTCTCTCTTTCTCTCTCTCTCTCTCGATGACTTAGTCTAACCTATGCGTGCAATCTACATTGTGTATGTCTATGTGTGTATGTATATATATATATATATGTATACAAATACACATGCATGCATGCATGCATGCACACATACATACATATGTTATATGTGGGCAGTTTTCAAAACTAGGGTCCCTTTGAGGGTCCTTTGCAATCGGGTGCCGTACCATTTTGGGGACCTAAAACGGGACCCTAATTTACAAAACTACACATGTATATAGTTGTGCTTGTTGCAAGGGACGGCTGCTGGGCTCAGGTGTTGATACGTGAGGCTTGGGGCGGTCGATGCCGCGTGGATATTTGCAGAGGCAGCCCTGTGCAAGCGTTCGGCAAGCTGTAACATGCGCAATACAAGGCTTGTTGAAGGTTGAAGATGTTTACCTGACATTGTGGGATCTGTGGTCTTTCTCAGCCTAGCGTCGCATCGGACACTCACACGGTCTTGAAGCAACCGCTTCGTTTACAGAGATTTCAATCGCCTAGCATACATGGCCCGTGGAGCCCTTGTCGCAGCAGCCTACCCTTCGTCAACGGATCTTCGCAGGGTTGCTGTTTCAATCACAAGCATCATCGAAGGCATCTTCCTCACTCCGCCCGATTCATTCAGCCTCAGCCCTTACGAAAGAAATCCACTTAGAACCCGAAAGCTGCGGCGCCTCGAGCATGAACTCCGGATCTGTTCTAAGCTCCTGCAAGGTGCCACGCTGCAATTCCGACAGCCTCATGCAGCCTCAACATGAAGTCTCACGGAATTTGCCGGCTCCCGAGCTTTGTGTGTTTGCCATGACGTGAGATGACGGTCACCGAACTTGATCAGATGTGCAGACAGCTTCAGACAACGTGGCTTTTCAGTCAAGCCGGAAGTTCTGAAAGCCTAAAAGTCGAAAACTGTCATGTGATGCAGGGGCCTAGATACAAACCAATACTGCTTTGGGGGTTCCTTACTATATTTAGAGTACCACGGGCCCCAAAACCCGAGTCTAATTATAACAGGCCCCTGTATTACTCAACGGCCAAACCATAAATCCTGAAGCCTACGGCTTAATGAACTCACGGCTCAGCTGAACATCACAACCCTAAACCCTAAACCGTACCGCAGCAGTCCAAAAAGCCTGCGTCCTCAGAGCCATAGCTGCAAAGCCAGAACAGTGAGGCTCCAAAGAGCCCAAAGGAGGTAATGTAGGGGCCTTAGTACTCACAATAGGGTTTCTTTCAAGGGTTCCTTTACAGGGTTCTATAAGGGTAGCCATAAGGGCTCTACAATGCAGAGGCCCTAAGAATCAGAATAGGGTTTTTGGGGTATATTATTATTATTACTATAATAAAGACCCCCCACAAACATAGTATTGGTAATTCTCTAGGCCCCTAAACTATGCTATGAGCTTATGATTAAGTACCTCTTTTGAAACCACAAGGGAACTTCTAAAGTTTCCCAAAGTGCCACCACAAGAAGGCCCCTTTACGGGGTTAGGGTTTGGATTTAGGGTATAGGGTCAAAAGCTTAGGGTTTATAGCGCTTTAGGGTTTTAGGGTTTAGGGTTTGGTTCCGCTAAAATGGGTTTGGAAATTTCGGGTTTAGGGTTCCCCTGAAATGTTTCGGAGTCCTCGGGTATGCAGTCGATGGCCCAGCCTGGCAGGCAACGGTCCACGAAAATCTGCAAGCGCCCCACCATGTTTTCCTACAGCTGGACAAGACACTGAAAGTACACCTCTACACAACAAGACTGGGGGCCACATACACCAGCAGGTGCGGCTATCAGATACCAAAGAGGAAGACGCAAAACATAGTAGTAACCAGGCAAAGTACATGCATCAGCCTATCAGCATGGACATCAAACGAAGAAAGCACCATGACACGAAGCATACGATGAGGACGCGGCTGTTTTGTAGCACCGCCTGAAGAACCAGGCTGCGATCACTTTGCAGCCTTGGCCCCCCAGCACTGCAGAAAATCTTCAGAAATAGGGTCCATAGTTTTTGAGAAATCAGTAATCAAAGATTTTCGATGTTGCCTTTAGAAAGTCGCGTCGCTTAAGACTTGCTGCGTCGGTGGTTGACGAGTGCAAGTCTTCTGTCATGCAGCTGGGTTCTTCGGTCCCCCTCCCTACTGAAGAAGACCACCCCATGCAGGAACCTCACAGCCTCGAGGTGTGCCGGTGACGCTTGTGTTGCACAGCTTACCGTCAGGAGGCAGCTGTCATGCCATATTCCCCCCGTCTGGTGACGATGATGCTCGCTGTGAAGTGTGCAGGAGAAACACACCGGAACGCAGGTGACGCTTGCATTAGGCAAGGACCGGCAAGGACGTTGTGCCCAGTGACCGTGGGGGACGAACACCCTCGAGGGAAACTGGCGGGCCAACTGACTGATGGTGGTGGTATTCGTTGCATCTAATCGGGCAAGGATCCAAAGCACCCCTGCTGCTTATGACGCTGGCTGCTAACTTCGGACATCGCTCCAGCTCAGCTTGTAGTTTGTGGCGGGAATGGCGGTGCTGACTGCTGATGCCGGCGATGTTTCGCAAGCAGTCACCTGGTTCTCCTGGACAGCTGCCCCTCCCAATCCTGGAACCACCACGGAACGAAAACAATCTGAAATAGGGGCCTGAATAAGTACCAATACTATTTGGCAGTTCCTCTATAATAGACCTCAAAACTCGATTCTAAATACTACTGACAGACGAGCCTTGAAACTCAGAATAGGGTCTTTGGAATATATGATACTATAATTATAGCAAGGAGCCCCAACAAAAAAACAAAAGCATTGGTAGTTATTCAGGATCCTATAGTTGTGCAGACGAGAATCTCGGGCTGGGCGTAATGAATTGCTCGGCCATCCAACTTGATGGCCTTCCCAGGACCGGTGTGCGCCCGAAAAGAGGAACCAACTCTCACTGGGTGATGTAGGGGCCTCAATAATTGGAATAGGGTTTCGGGGTCCTTTATCGTATAATGATGATATTAACGTAGGCTCCTTAATAATTAGAATAGGGTTTTGGGGTCCATTATATTATATTATAAATGTAATAAGGAATCCCCAAAACAGTATTGGTATGTATTTAGGCCCCTGCATTATCCTTGTCTTGGTGAGACTCTGAGGCTCTTAGCATTCACACAGGAAGTCTCCCCCCTGTCTGCTCAAAGGCGACCGAAACCCAACAGGTCGTGACTCCCAAAGGCTCAAGCTTCATAGGGTTTAGGGTTTAGGGTTTAGGGTTTTAGGGTTTAGGGTTCCATAAATGAGCCCCAAGGCTTCGGCAGCTTTTCTCTCAGAACTCCTCACACATGTCAGTCGTCTGATGATAAATCCAAAACCCTGAAACTCCCTTCGCATACTCTGCTTCATGGCACAAAAGCCTTCGGCCTTGCGCATGAAATCCGCGTTTCCCCGCAGGGACGGGGAAGCGAAGCGTAGTGCCTCTCTTGCGGTCTAGGGCTTAGGGTTTGTAATGGATTTAGGGTTCAGGGCTTAGCCACCAGAGGTTCTTTAGGGTTCTGCTGCTCAGACTGCTGGTCAAGGTTTAGACCAACTCATGGTCCTCAACCGTGACATTTTCTTACCTGAAGGACCCTGAACCTGCTGGTCATACCTACATCCATACCTAAACCCTATGAACCCTCAATCCTTGAAGCCTTAAACCCCGTGACGACAACACCAGTTTTGCAACAAGGGAGGACGCTTTCTTCCCTGGAGGCCCCAGCCACCGAATATTATCCGTGAAGCCATAACAGTCCCAAACACTCGAAACCCTGAACCATCCTAAACTCTCTAAACCGCTCATGTAGGGGCTTGACCATGAGAATAGTGTTTCGGGCCGCTTTGGAGCTTCTCAGTACAGAGGCCTTCATAATTAGAATAGGGTTTTGGAGTAAAATTGTACCATAACCATGATAAGGAAGCCCAGAAACGGTAATATGTAAGTATTATGGTCTTCTATATTAGACCCTAAACCCCTAAACCCTAAACTAAACTCCTATATTATACTCCTTAAACAGCGAACAGAATACTTTGCCTTAACATTCAAAGCTTCTGCAGGCTCCCGCTCTTTCCCGGAACTTCTTGGCACAAACGACCCTAATCTAGGTTAGAATAGGGTTTCTTTAAAGGGCTCCTTTAAAGGGTTCTATAAGGGGTAGCGATAAGGGCTCTACAATGTAGGGGCCTCAAGAATTAGAATAGGGTTTTTGGGGAGGATATTATGATAGAATCATAAGAAGGAATCCCCAAAAATAGTATTGGTAATTATTAGGCCCCTACATCAAACCCTAAACCCCCGAAAAGCGCAAAGCGGGGCCTCGGCAGACCTGAATATCGCTGGCGGGTCTTGCAATTTAAAGGGCTTAATTTAAGGTTTACCTTAGGCATAAAAACCCCAACCCTTATGAAGGAACTATATTAGAAAAACAACATAATAAAGAACCCTGAAAAGGTTCGTTGTCGGGGGGGCTGCAAGTAAGGTTTAAGAGGCCTAGAATTTCGGGTTGGGCGCTGCGGTGCTGCTGCATGCATTGCGTGCTGCTCTTCTCGCGTAGGTCTGAGCCCTGCACGTACCCTAAATTAAAAGAGCTCACGACCCGAAACTCAAAACCCCAATGCCTAGGCTTAGGGGTCTAGGGTTTAGGACTCCGATAATTGAGGGGTTTCCTGCTCAACTGGATGTTTCGGGACGGTGAGATGGCCCATGCAGGATTGGATAACAAGGCTTCTGATTCTGAGGCTTCGGAGTCACCTTCTCCCTTTTGTCTTGAAGGTCTACCCCGCCTCTTAGTCTATTCTATGCAGTATAATAAAGTTGTTAGTATTTATATACTATACAGCATGTAGTATATACTATGGCAAGGAGCTCAACACCTGAAGGTACACAGCTTTGGTGTCCTGTCCTCGACCACAAAAGTGCCCTGGAATGGCGTGGCTGCTTCGGAAAGCTTAGCCCAGCATAACCCAAACCCTTATTCACAACAAAGTAGAATATGACAGCTATACTACCCTATTCTAGTTGTGAAGGCCCCTATAGTATCCGGGTACCAGCACGATCGCCAACAGAGGCCTTCGAAAGCTGCAATCCTTCCGGACCCTAGCCCATGCTAGCTTCAGGATCCCCAGGCATATCTAGGTTCAGGGTTTAGGCCTTTCTGTTGAAGGCTCCTTTCCTCCTTACAAAGTCAGAAAACCACTATATGGGTTTAGGATTCGGGTCTAGGATCCCGGAACCCCGAAGATGTCAACAAGAGGCACTTCCTTCGTGCCTCCGACTGCGCTCGGATTCCCAAGAACCTCCAACCCACATCCTGAATCCAATGAACTTTTGGTCGTAGACCCTATACCCTAAACCCGACCCTGAAGCCCAAACCCTGTCTATAGATGACATCGAAACTGCTCCGGAAGCCAAGTCTGCGGCTGTGCAACTGCTGCAAGTACCTGCTCTGTTAGGCAAAGGATTCATGTTGACATCTTCTTGCGAGAGCATATGCGTAAATATAAAGAGAGTATAAGCAAGTAGACGGAAGAGCAAAACAAATCGATCAATACTTAGTTAAACAAACAAACCACTGTAAATATACATATATATATAGATATACATACATACACACATAAATGTACAAACATATATATATATATACACACACACATACATGTATACACGTATTATATCGATCTGATATTA